CACACACACACACACACACACACACACACACACACACACACACACACACACACACACACACAGGCATGCATACTTCAACAACTGCTTGCACAGCTCATGGCACACATGGCCCTCCATCCCTTCATCATCCGTTGGCTCCATCCCTCCCTCTCTCCTCTGCTTTCCTCCAGACGCACCATCTTTCCTGGCGGAGGCCATATGGCCGAGAGAAGCCTGTGGATCTGCAGACACATCTGCGTATATGTTGCTGCTCCCCTTAAAACGCCGCACCTCTACAGTACAGACTCGCTGTGCTGGAGTGTTTTTGTGTGTGTGTGTGTGTGTGACCTAAGTGAGTACATGCGTAGTGATAATTGGTGAAACAGCCTGCGAACAGCTGTGAGGTGAGAGAAGGTTGTGTGGTGTTTAGTACCGAAGGCACAGGGGAGGAGGAGTAAAGTTTGAGCACAAGAGACGACCAAAAAAAAAAAACAAAAAAAAAAAACAGAAGAGACGAGAAGAACAGAGATGACAGGCAAAACTAAGAAAGTGTTTTTACAACCTGAACATTACAACAAAAAAACTGCGAGAAAGTCACGTTTTTCCATTTTCTGACTGCATCAATCGTAAAATCTTTAATTTTTTTCTAAATATAAATAATTATTTTAGACTTTTTTAAACATTTATCCAAACATTTCACTTAATTAACTATTTTTGTTTCATCACAAAAAATGTTTAACCAGAAACATGGGAATAACTTCAACTATAAATTTATTTTTATAACCAATGAAATATAAGAAATCACATTTATCTGGTGTAAAAAACAGATCAGCTACATCTTATTTTAATTAAAAAAACGTTAAAATTTTTTGTAGACTTTCTCACAGTTATGAGCTGCCTTCGTCGTTACTTTTAAAAACTAAAACATTGATTTAAAAACCATGAACATTTAGTACGAACACAAGAAAGAAAGAAAAAAGATTCTATTTCTGCTTCCTGGTATAAAACAAAAGATTAAATCCCCATTTAAAGATGTTATCCCTAGAAATCCTTCACTGGCTTCTCTGACTCTGCTGTCCTGCTCCAACTCTCCTCCCTCCCTTCGCTTCCCAGCAAAGAAGAAGAAGAAAAAAAAAGGCAACACAGAAATAGCGAAATAAATAATTAACTGGTGCAGCAAAACATTGTGTGCTAAAACCCCTGTGTAGTTTGGCAATCAGCGTGCCCGTGTAAAAATAAATCAAGCTGATTTTCCAAATGTTTTGTGCGTGGTGCGCTGTCGCCGCTCTTCGCAGCACAGATTGCGGGCCGACGGAGAGGCTGTGGGGAGGGGCGGGGCGCTGGATACTGAACCCACTTACACCAGCTTGTTAACACGTACACCTTAACCCCTGAGCGGCGCGGCGGGGCGCCCGCTGAGCAATCAGGGCCTGCGGGGACCAACTAACATATACCCAATGTATGGACACACACACACTGTGAGAAAGTGTGTGAATCACTGAAGTTCTGTATGACGTTCTAACAGGAAGCACAAACACTGAAAAGTTCAAACTAAAACACGAGACTCGAGGAAAGTCCTGAAACGAAAMGACTGTAAAAAACGCGAAACCTGTAGCAGCTGCAATGTGACAAATTACATTCATCTACAAAATAAAAATAAAAAAGGTATAAGAACCTCATCTCTAACTCCTCTCTAAATCATTTGCAAACTGCGTGATTTCGAAGCAAACACAACGATCCTCCGACACGAATCCTCCGCGTCGAACAAACGCCTCTCTGCGTTCGGAACGCGGCCGCACGGATCAGAGCTCGTTTTCCCCGAGTGACCTCCGCCACGCCTGAACTCTGGAGATCTTCAGCTACCAGGAGGATTCATCCACAAACTAAGTGTCAAAGCGGAAACTAAAACTTCATAAATGCCAACAGTGATTATCGTGGTTCAGTTGGGAGAAGAGAGAAGTTGGGTGCCAACTTCCCAGCCAATCCATTTTTGGCAGCCAGAATCCAACTCTGCTTAGCCTCCTGAGAACATGCAATAGCTCCCCATATGCACTCCAACATGCACACACACGTTCACACACACGCAAGAAAATACCACTGTAACATATGCACAGAAACATACAGATCATTTAGATTTTACTGCATGACAACTTAAAATGTTTGCCTTTTTTTTATTTAATTTTTTTTTTACTAAAACCCAGACACACAGGAGCAGAGACAGCTGTGACTCGGTAAACTTTGTTTTTTTTGGCAGCGTCTGCCCGACGGCAGGTTAACACCGGTGGGTGGAAGACAATATGTAGTGTCAGGAGATAAGGGTGTGTGTGTGTGTGTGTGTGTGTGTGTAACGTGGAAGTGCTGGTGGTGGGGCACTGGGGAAGATAGAGATCCTGCAGAGTGGGGCAACAACACCCACACTGACGGAGCCAGGCTGCATGCCAGGCGCCCTGTGGAGACACACACACCAAATGGGCTCGACACTAAGAAGGAAGAGACCCCAGACTCACACACTCAGACACACACAGACACACACAGTCACATAAACCAGTGATAGAGAAACTTTTAACTGCAACTTCTGAAGTGAGAAAAAAATCAACAAATGTTCAGACAAGAAGTTTAAACCAGAGATGAATTTATCAAACTATTTTCTCTTAATTGAATAAAACTAATTTAGCTCAGCTGAACGACTCAAAACCTCAACAATCTAACACTAACACCAAGAACCACTCTGAGATGGCGACAGTGACCAATATTTTGCAAGAATAATGCAAAAAAGAAAAAGTATTTGATTTAAATGAATACTGATCTTTTTGAYCAAAGGTGGTGTGTTGAAATAAATTTAGCGACTTGACAAAATGGGTTGTTATTTCCTGAAATTATGTTGTTTTTGCATATTCATTATGAYTAATTTTATGTTTAAAAGTTGTGTATGGTGTTGTGCTTTTTTATTTTTTGGTTTCCTTCACAATTTTAGCTGTATTATTTCTGTATTCAATGAATGTGGGGAATGTTCACGTGTTCACTGTTCAATTATGTAAAAACTCTAAATAAGGAAAACAAAAAGTATTTCTACCTCTTCCCTTCAACACAGAACAGAAGTGTATGTATATCTGAAAAACAAAAAGCAAATTATTGTTGACCTAATAACTTCTCAGAAAATGAAAGCAGTCTTGTTARTGAGGCAGCAGGTCGTGTACAGGAAGGTAACGTTTGTCGACACAGATCTTCCAAAGACTTATTATAAACAGACCTCGGACCAGAACCTGGAAGCTGAAGCTGAAAACAGGAACAGCTTCCCTGTCAAGTTTGTAAATAAATGGAAAAATGTCTCTGCTTAAAAAAACAAAACTCAGATAATTGTAATCAGCTGTTGATTCTTGTTGCTGTTTGTTCAACGTTTAAATGTCATTTTTAGCACAGAGTTTTTAGTTTCCTTTGATTAGACTAATTATAAAATACTGCTTCTCTAGTATTTTATATTCTTTTATTTTATACTCTTGCTCTTATTCCGAACCTGCTTTTAACCCCTAATGTCATGAAACTTTCTTATTCTTTGAGCGTCTGTACTTTTTTTAACCGTTCTAAAAGCTGTTATTGTTTTTCTGCTCCTGCTATAATGTCTTTGTTTGACCTGTTGCTGGAATGTATCGTACAAATAAAGCTGCCTTGCCTTAATAAATTATAACATAAACGCATAGTTATAAACATATCTGTACATTTAACTTGGTAATACTGTATGTTTACGTTTATATTACTAGTTATTGTGTACAGTGTAAGTCTTTTCTATTTTTTATATAGACCAAGTTTCTTTTATATATTTTAATGTTTCCTTTTATCTTTTTAGTGTGTTTTTATATTGTGATCTTCATATAGGTGAATTTGCACTCAAGTTTTTCACTCACCTGTACGCTTGTACTATGTGATGTGACAACAAATCTGAATTGAATTGAATTGAATTGAATTGAATTGGAATTAGTTATTTTCCTCTAAGAAAGCTCACGTGACACCATGATTACTGGTAAAACTCAGACTGGTTCCAAACCAACAACGGCAGCTCCTATAAAACAATTCAGCTTCAACTCACAGCTAGAGAAGCTGGGTCGGTCCATCAGTGTGTTTATGGTATCTTCAGTATAAAATAAAAAATTACAATTATTTTTAAATACATGCACCAAGGGGTGCAACAATACAGAAAATTCACGATTCGGTTCGGTTCGATGCTTTAGTCTCACGGTTTGAT